ATATATATATACACCCACACCCAGTTGATGGTTTCAGCTTGAAACTATATGCATAGTATATTAAACTTTCCCTGATGAGGATACTGCAAAAACAACATACAGGAAGGGCCAGTTATAAATTCTATTCTGTTAAACTGTCCCTAACCATTTTTATCATGTAAATTGTGGTTGAATAAAAAAAAAAATGAAATGCAAAAATCGTGAGTCCCTCAATGATAAAAAGTACTTTATGTACACAAACACACAAAAACCACTTATAGTATGAAAACAGTATAAGGAAATAGGTAATCTCATTTAGACATTTAGTAAAAGCAGTGCACTAGAATAAGCAGAAATCTTTTTTTTCAACCATGTTTAAAGAGGGTGACCCTTCCAGCATATCTTAGACGGTGAGCAAATATTCAGGGGCGATCTTAAATAAATAAAATAATGTGATGCTTTTATCAAAGTCACTTTATGAGGCTAAAGAAGTGACAGCATGATCCACCCCAATGATATTTTTACTTTCAGAGATCAAGTCTATCTATTAAGAAGCAAGAAATAAAAGCGTCATTACTGCACAATAATCATGAGCATTATTAAATCCTTAATACTTGTTAAATACATTGACCTATGTGAGATTCTCAACATCCCCGGAGTGACGTGAACCACCCACACAGCTTTACCGTCCAATCAGTCAGCACACAATCAATATATTATATGTAATGTATGGCCTCTGCTCGCTGACGTCAAGCATGTGGGCCTACATGAATACATGTGCATAACGAATGAGATGATGATAATTAATTGGAAAGAGATACTACAATGGATGTGAATTTCAAACAGCCTGAAATCATTATACAAAGTGAGAAAAAATTACAGAATACATCTCAATTACATATATCGGTATTCACATAATATGGCACGAACCTACACGATAAAGCAGGGGTGGGCACAGGGTTAGATGAATTTTTTATTTAACACTAAAAACTGCACCCATGTTTCTATTGTGTTTACAAACACCTTTATGCACTGTTTTTATACAGTATAATTCTCAGTTTTAATATTTCTTTTCACTGATGATCAGATTGAGATGTATTCTGTAATTTTTTCTCACTTTGTATAATGATTTCAGGCTGTTGAAATTCACACCCATTGTAGTATCTCTCAGGGGGACTTCAAGACTAAGCTGGTAAAAGGGGTTTTTAATTTATTTTGCGGGCCACAATTTGCTCACCTGTGCAATAAGGATCCTGATCATAGAGACCTTCAATGCTTTTTAAACCAAAGTATTTTTTTGTTGTCGCGTCGGGTCTGTGTGAGTTAAACGCAGACGCGATGGTGTGCGTCGGGGGCAGTCGCATCGTAGAATATTAAACATGTTTAATATTTCTCACAACAGCTTAAAACTGTCCCCGACGATAAATCGGGTCGGGCTGCGTCGGCCGACGCTGTCTGAGTTGGCCTTTATATATGCCTGGGTTAGATGTTTCCATTACTTTTCGCGTTTAAATTCTATTGGAATCTGGCTTATATTGGTTCATCCAGGTAAGTATTCATGAAATAGACATATAAATATGCTTGATTTAAATTTCACCTTAAATACTAACTATAAGCATTGACCTATGAGGTCAACCCAAAATATTCCTAGAATGCATACTGCCTCTCTGTTTTTATCACCTTTATTCTTCAATTTACTTTCTCGTGATTAATATTCTTGATTAAACTGCATCTAGAGGCGAACATATTTTTCATCTGAAAGCAATCAAATCCAAAGAATATCTTTTTTTTTCCTTCTAATTTGCTACTGGCAGTCTATATATCATGCAAGCTTGCAACTATTGGGCTGAAACAGTTTATGGAGTGAGTTCAGACTTACTTATAGCTCCTATGTTTCAAAACCCTGTCTTAAGAATATAAACCTTCAAGCGTAAACATAGGTAAGTTTTTTTTAAAGCTCGAGCTCGTAAAATTATTTCCCCAAAAAATAAATTATTTTTGACATTAGGTCTGAAATTAAACATGAACTCCATTATCATCTTCTCCTACTATGTTGAACCTGTTTTTTAATATACTGAAGTGTCACGCATGAGTTACCATGTTCTAGGCTTTGTCCAGATAACTAAATTTTCTTGGACAAAAACCAGATATGCCCACATATAGTCATGATGTGCCTAAATATGGTCATGAGGTGATGTCATCATGACCATATATAGGCATGTTACCTGTTTTGTCAAATATAATTTGATAGTCTGGACAGGATTTTAAAGTTGTATCTTGCATGAATTACATTGCTATGGTCAATATGTGCAAGCCTGGAAATAGCAATGGCCAATCACAGACTGGAATTCCCAGGATAATGTATTTTAAACAAGCAAAGGAGCCAAAAATGCAGATCTTAGTTTAAGCATGATCATTTGCTTATATTCCTCAACCTTTGACATGTCCATGCACACTTGAAACTAAAAGATGCCATGGAAATGTGTAACTGCTTGGGAATTAACAAAGCAATGCTACTTGCTCTTTCTTTATACACTAACCTTTGATTGCCTGAGGCAAAACACACTGCTAATATGGTCAGCATTCTGCTTTGGTGCAATAAACACATCTTTTTCTTCATTAATTGCAAGATACTTTCCTATAAAACAGCAAAAATAAAGATGTTTAAATGTTATTCAGGTGTTAGAAACTAGAGATGGATGTCTCTACTATTGCACAAAACAATATATTTTCTTCTTGTCATTTTTCAAACAATTTAAACTTTAAAAAAATATATATAATTCTTATTTTGTTTCACAAAATTAATTTCACATCAAAATTCACACTATTAATGTTTTTGAAATTTTAATGCTTCTAAGTAATATTTCATATTGTTTGTATATTGTTTTTAGATTTCTATTTTTATCTATCATTTTTTTGAAAAAACACTTTCAGCCATTGGCTGCTGTTTTGTACACGCTTTATACAGAAATAAATAAATATATTAATTAATTAATATATCTATGTGCATATAATGGAATTTAAAAAAAATAGCATTTGCTGTGGAAACAGTTTGGTTTCCCAACCTTAAGGTCAGGATTTGAATCCCTCGCTGTGCATTTCACTTATGTCCTTGAGCAAGGCACTTGATCTGCATTGCTTCTCTCCACCCAAAAGTATAAATAGGTATATGGTGGGGTTGCCTGCTTCTGCACTGATTACCAGCAGCAACACTAAAAGCATGTTGAGTCAAAGACCAGGGAAAAGAATTGTGCTTTATAACCCCAAGGAAGAGGCACATTATAAATGCCTATAGCAGTACTAGTGTTCAATAATATGCATATCAAAATGTAAAAATATAAATTATTAATGCAAATTATTATGCAAAATATTACCTGACGTTATGTGCTTAATCCTACAAGGCTGTCCCCAAGAAAGGTAGCTTCCATTCCATCTGGAAAACAATAAGAGCAATTTTGTTTTTTTATGATATAAGAAAAGTAATTTTTAAATTTTATTACAATACTTCCAAGAAATAATTGTACCAATGATGAAAAAGGCATGAGAAGATGATAATTTAGATGTGATGAAGATGATGATAAAACTTATGATTCTAATGGAAATATTGGTGGTGGTGATAATGATGATGGATGGTAATGATGAAAATAATAGCTTTGATGATCACGATGACACGGATGGTATGAATTACAAGACTGATAAATTGATAAGTGGTACGGAAACTAAAAGATAATCATCAATATATTGGCTATATAATTGAGAAGTGCACCCTCGTTAGTAATAAACGAACGTCATGCCTACAACGTTCGGCTGGGTTAGATGTGATTAACTTTAATGGGAATGGCACATCATAGCTTCCTTACGAGAACGAAATCAAGATATATTTAGCGATCGGATTTCCTTCTCTGATATCTTTGATATATGATTGATTTAATTACCCCCTGAAAAGAAGTAAGTTATTTCTTTGTAGAATGAAGGCATACCCCAGTTATTTTAAGTTCATTAGGGTGGTGCAAACTTTAAATAGTTATGCTCCATCATATTTATCTAAAAATGTTGCTTTTAATTATGGTTTGCATACAATTTGTACTTGCAGTCAAAAGTAAAAATACACTCACTGAATATACCTGAAATAATATGCAAGGTAAAAGAACTTTTGTATACCAATCTACTAAATTTAAATCTATAACACTTTCAAATTGTAAGCATTCTATTTTAAATCCTCAATAATACCATCTTAACTAGTTTCTCTTACCTTGCTTATCAATATATATTATTTAAATATTATTGTTTTCTTGAGTTTTATCCAATGTTCCTTTTAATTTTATTTTATGTTATAACTTTGTAGTTAAGTTTTCCTTTTTTACTGTGTGTATATATCTTCTTTTTAAAATTTTGTAGTTAATAACCGAACCACTTTGGAAATCAGTACTATGTATTGAAAATGTGTATTCTGTATAAAGAAAGAATAAATAAATAAATAAAATACTCTATTACAACAAAACATGATCACAATGCCCTGTCCAGACTGTCAAATTTGATTTGACAAAAATATGACTTGCCTAAATATGGTAAAGATGACATCACATCATGACCAAATATAGGCATATCATGACTATATATGGGCATACAACAGAAAATTTGATAGAGCTTTAAAAAAAATATTATATATGCACAAATGGGTAAATCAGTTGGTAGGATTCACTGATTTACATTATTGTTTTAATAAATTTCTAAACTACAATTATTTATAATGTAAATTGTTTACCGTTTGGATAACAACTCGATGGCCCATAATGATCGAGCATATTTAGAGACGTCTCCGCATTCATAAGCCACTTCGCTATGTTCGCCGGAAAAGAAGAAAAAAAATGTAAATACACTATTACATTGTTCATAAATGTATACGATGTTCAATATTAATAATAATCTTATATTTATATAGCGCATATAACACATTGCTCCTATGCGATTTACAAAAAAAATTTTTTATAGGGCTAACAGCGGAATGAGAGAAAAAACAAAGAAGTAAAAATGAAGATAGAAACAATAATAACAATAATAAAAATATAATAAAGAAATTATGTCTTTAGTTACTATTTCAGTAAGCTATTAGCAGGCAATTGAACATTATACAGAGATAATATATTCCTCACCGCCGCTTAATACAGTTCCTTTATTCACTGTCTAGACAAATAAACTGATAATAAATGGATTTTCATAGTAAATTATCTGGTGTCTCATAAAACCATAAATCGTAGCCAATATTTCATCTATTTCAGTGAGCATTAGAATGCTTTTATTTTAATTTTAGAGCATTATTTTTCAAGATTTTACCTGACACCTTTAAAGTATACTCAAACTAACTCAAACACACAGGAATAATAGTACAGCTATTTATACAGTATATTTCTATACCAGGATATTTCACTAGGGTATAATTAATGTTTTAATTTATGGTTATGGCACATGCAATGAAATGTTTAATTTTAATTTAAAAGTTTGTTTTTTTCAAAATCTTACCTGACACCTTTAAAGCTACCAAGCATACTCTAACGCATATGCTAATAATTTATGGTTATTTATATGGCACATGCAATGAAATCAAAGGATCCACTGATTATACGTAAATAGAATATGAGTATGGCAACTCCGAAAAATGACAGACGTGAGGCCATAGTTGATTCTACGTTTCGTTCTTTATTGGAACATTCGAAAAATGACAGACGTGAGGCCATAGTTGATTCTACGTTTCGTTCTTTATTGGAACTCCAATAAAGAACGAAACGTAGAATTAACTATGGCCTCACGTCTGTCATTTTTCGGAGTCACCATACTCCTATTCTATGCAATGAAATGTTTAATTTATTTTAAGAGTATTTTTTCAAAATCTTACCTGACACCTTTAAAGCTACCAAGCATACTCTAACATATGCTAATAATAGCCCAAGCACATATTCAATATAGTAACAGCTATTATTTTTACTATATCATATAAAGTACCACACTAGGATTTTTCTCCAGGGTACGATTATTATTTTAATCTTAATAGTTATTTATGACACATACAATGAAATGTTTCATTTGAATTTTAGAACATTGTTTTTTTCACGATTTCATCTGCCGTCTTTAAAGTTATCAAACAAACTCAAACATATATACTAATATTAGTCCATGCACATATTTATTACCGTAACAGCTATTTTTTTCTACTATATCATGTAAAGTACTGAACAAGGATATTTCTCAAGGGTACAATTATTGTTTTAATTTTATGGCTATTTTAATGGCACATCTTTCGTTGATGGGCTACAAAGCGCTTTTCCCCTGATCATTGGATACCTAATAAATCACGTACAAAGTGTGACAATTCCCGCTGCCTGGGGAATATTCAACGCACGTAATTCAGTACCGACTGATCTCAATTTTAATAATTCATATACTACTGCGTACCACCGACTTACTGTAGAGTCACAATGAAATATGCTTTTTATTATCTCTTTGGCCTATTTGGCCAAAATATTTTACTTATTGAAAAAGCATTATTTTTTTCTTCTCTCCCTCCTCTGAAGACATTTAAAACTTGTTTGCTAAACAAGGTATTTAAAGTCTTGTTTTACAAAGTATACTGAATGATGAAAGAGAAGGGACAAAAAATGATAATGGTATATATCAATCCTTAAATAAGAACAAGTGTGGAAATTTATATATTTATTATCTTTCATTGTTATACTGTACATAGGATCATAACATACAGATATGTTTTTTAATTCTAATGCTATAAAGCAAAATATTTCTATTCCTTTTTATTCAGAGAATACATCCGTAAGGCGAGACTTTTTTTATACATTGTATAGTAAACCAGCAGGCCACCAATAATGATGATTTTGAACAAAAAAAAATTGTCTTTTTGGCCAATTAGCATACCTGCCACTAAAAAAATGGAAATATCAGAAAAAACTAAAAGTTATTTAAATTTTTATTAAGCCTGCCGCTTTAAAAGTTTTTTCAATTTTTATTACACCCACTGCCGCCATGAAATCGCCAAAAATAAGGTATATATATTTCTTGCTAAATATATAAATTTAAAGAATCTTATTACACTGTTTGCATTCACCAATAAAATTTTATTTTTATTTTCACTTCTGCCTGGATGTTTTTGGCAAAACTATTTGCTAAATAATAAAACCAAATTATTTTTTTTTGCCCTCCTCTGACAATCTTTAAAGAAATAAGTTCACAAAACAAGGCATAAAAAAAGTCTTGCATTATATATAACATCACAACATCCACATATAGTTTTTATTTCATAGTATATATAGTTTTATTTCAAGTAACACAAAAAAATACTTCGTTTTTATTCAAAGCATACATCCGTAATTGGAAATGGCTTGGCAAAACCCTTCGTAGGTTAAATTCAACATTTGATGACGGAAGCATTTAATTTCCGCTGATATAAAACATTGGAATGGCATTCGCTTAATCAAAAGTGGATGAACACTAACAAAGTTATGATGCATGTTAGTTTTTGTTTTTTTTTTTCAGAAAAATAGCTTTCAAGGATTCTATATTGATTTTCTGTCACTTAAACCATGGAGTTAACAGACAAAGTTAATAGCTGCATGATAGCTGTATGCATACACTCAACATTCTTTTAATGTGACAGATATAAGGTATCAGATACACAGTGTCATATATCGGATGATTAAGACACTTTCGAGCTGCACCAGCAAAAGAAATTTCAACAAGGACAGGGAGAGCAAAACACATGTCTACACTATACAACGATATTAATAAGACTGTGTACTGGTCTATTTCATCATTAATACTACTGACTTAAAGAGAGGAATTTAAAGAGGGTTTGCAAGATATGCAGTAAATACCTGATGCGGCTGTCATCTTTACATCCAGCTGCAGGTACTGTCAGGAATTCATTGATGTGCCCATGAGAGAAGCGCAGCACATCCAGGCCATTGACAAACCCTGATAGAGAACAGGAGACATCCACGATAAGGTGACTACTATTAATCCATGAGAGAGTTTACATTAATGAAAAGGGGTGCAATTAGTGCCCATCAGCGTATAATACTACAGAACATGTCCGCGACAAAGATAGTTAACATAATGTTACAGCCAATCAAGGATAAGATATCTAAAAAAAAAAAAATTAAAATGTGACCTGTAAATTTTGAATCTGTTGGCCATATGATGGAATTGTCATCCAATAAATGTTGGCCAGGATGAAAATACGATGCCAACCTGTCTGGTAAATGAGCATGGTATTCCAGAAACTCATCCATGGGGAAAGCTTTAAATTTCCTAATCTGTATCTGTCTGCAAAAGTTACTGATTTATGTTTCTATTTAGCCCAGATCATGAGGTCAAACTCAGTAGGGGTCAATATTGGTAAACATGTTTATTTACTAAAAAAAATTCATTGCTAATACTGTACTTTGATCTGAGAAAATGATCAGCTGTTTATATTTTGTCATTTGACTGAGGCCCACTAGTATAGAATATGACTTTTAATAAATAACATTCTAAAGCTCTGTTTACACTATCAAATTTTATGTGACATATTTGGGTGATGTGCCCATATATGGGCATGATGATGTCATATAATACCCAAACGTGGGAATAAAAATATTTGTCACAAATATTATCAGTCACATAAAATTTGATAGTGTGGACAGAGCTTTAATTATTTGACGCTTGGTAGGAAATTTTCCATACTTCAAGAGGGCGCCACCCTTTCATACCGACCACCGTTTGTTACTTGATTTTTTTCTTTAACCGATTTCCTGGTCCACTCTCCTAGTACTTACCCATGGCTCGTGATTTTACTGACCCGGAGCTGACCGGTAATGCCGTCCATAGTGCCTTTTGGAATGATGCCTGTACTCTTGATGGGCAGTTTCCTTTGGGTGTTGATATGTGCTAAAATTATATAGAAAATCATTTTGATTTTCAATTTCTGACTGAAAATGCAAAGTTGTTTGTGTGGGTAAAACTTATAAAAGTGGCTTAACCTAGCCACACAGTTGGAAGTTCTTTTTTTTATGTAAAAAAAACAAAATGTTATCATAACTATCTCCCCATATCATAAATTTGTATTTTCTAATCTCAGGATTTGAAAATAGGGGTTAGATGAGGGAAGTACAGTAACGCACAAATCACAAGACTCCAAAAGACTTCCTGAAGGAGAAATCGATCACCTTAAACATCCCATAAATGTTCTTTGTTACCTTTATCAGTATCTTGTTTACACTTAGACTGCGGATAGTATAAACAATTTTGATTAAACATTAGCTACAGTCTGCAAATTAAACTCTTAAATATTAAAGACTCTGGGATGGATGCCAAGGACTTCATGTTTGTAACACTTAAAATACATAACTTAAAAGCCTCGATGTCAATTTTTTTTCACAACAAAAATGCTTGTTTTAAAATATGCATTTACATTACTCTAAATATATAACAAACTAGGTCACTAATCAGGCTAAAGTTCCGTTTTTATGTTTGAGAAAAAATGAAGTTATTAGATCTCATACACTGTAATGCTAACTGCTTCACAGTTCTATGTTTTAATGATAGTAAACCTTCAATTCCAATTGAAATTTAAACATCCTGAAATTCCCATTAATGTGATTGGCTACTGTATAATTAATTATGTTGTAGATCTAGATATGTGGTATTGTTACTTTGAGCATACAACTTACAAGATATCGTTCTGATGATACGCTAACCAGGATCAAGTCATCGCCTACTCTGACCTTCTCACCCTCTGACCTCTGCTTAGATGCAGGATGAATCGTCCACCAACATGATTCGCCTAAGATAGACAAGTGACACCAAATTAAATTGATATGGCAACACATCCATCATAAGATGGTTTACTATATAGAGTTGATACATAGTGAATAAAGATGATACAACAGAACATAGCAGTTATTTTAACACTTAAAATCATTTATCTTCTGCATTAGGTTGTTTTCTAAGTTAAAAAGGAAATGATAATTGGAGTAAAACCAGGGTTTTTGGAACCCAGAGCAAAAATTGAAATGACCTCTTTCTTGCTCGGAGGTTCTCTGTTCTGAGTTGGTTGGCAATAGTAAAAATCAACCCCTCCCAACCCACCAGTTCGAAGCCCTGGGCACTTGCCCCGTACTGCACCCCTGTATTATGCCTCGGAAAATAAAATGATCTTTTACCTTGAGCTGTTTCTTGAAGACCGACATCAAAGGCTAACTTATCCGTTGATGAACTTGTTGGCAAGCATGATAAATACTATGAGAAACAAACATAAATGAAGATATGAAAATGGTTGACTGAAACATCGTCTACTGGCCAACTCAGAGAGTTTCATATGATGCAGCCTGACACGTTCGTTGGAGACAATCTTAGGCCTCAAGTGACACGCACGAGGACTCTGACTGACTGTCACTAAGTCCAATCACTCTATGTCTCTCTGTCCCTTTACTTGTAGCTATTTTAACTCCTCTATCTGGCTTTCCTTTACTCCATATCTCATGCTGTTTGACTGTCATTTTAAAGCCACTGAATAGCAACTGTTAGGTATATATTATTTTATTTTAATAAATTGTTGACTTTAATGTTCTGTATATAATTATGTTATCTATATTTTTTAATTTATGCATTTAACTTTTGCTTTTTATGATGTACTGTAATGTGTAATTTATATTAATTGTAAATAAGGTATCTCACGGCCATAATAAAAAACAACATTGTATTTGTTGATTTGTGCTTCATGAATAAATGAAGTTTTACTACTACTACTACTACTACCCTGTTGCTGTAACACCTAAATTGGCATACTCTGCTAATTTCACCAATTTTATTTGGTTTAAGATTTCAACTCACAACGTAGTTAGATATTTTTTTACATAATTTCCAAATTTCCCTTAATAACAACGTGTACACACTTACCATGGAACTGACAGCATGCGTCAGCAGGACTGCATGCCCATACAATAATGTCTTGTGACCTGCTTGCCCGCCCTGTAAATGCAAGGTAAGTATAAGATAATATTAACAAAAAAACTTTAACATTTCTTTATCACAGTATGCTATGGGTTGGAGAAAATGCATTATCCCTGTCATCGACTTCAAGACCATTCAATTGGGCTCCAATTTATCTAGTATCCAGCGGACGAAACTAAGACTGAAATTTGATTGGTGTTACCACTGTAATAACAAATTGTTCAACATTTTGAAAATGCTTCACACTATCTGTTGGTCTATTGTAGAATGAGCTTCCCAACAGTGCAAAGTTTAGAGACTATGGAAAACAAGTTTAAAGGAAACCCAAAAAGCCAAGTTTACATAAAAGATATCATTAAGTATAATTGCTGAAATTCTTGACAATAGACCAAGGTAATTAAGTCAACATATTAATTATGCAAATAAATACGTAACTCTACATAATCAATAACAAAACTATATACGTCATTTGTAATGGAACATAACCATATCAATCAGGCTGTATTTAATAACATAAAATCACTAATCAATAAAAAAAAAAAAATGTGCATTCAAAAAGAATCTGGATCATTAGGTAGACTATTATTAACTGCTTGTTGTATTTTGTGTATTTACATGGTTGTTACCTTTCAAATTAATTGAAATAATTGAAATAAAGAGAATTATATTGAAATAAATTGAAATAAAAACACTGGTAGCACTTGACATTGAAATAATAACCATGGAATGTCCAATAAATAAATAAAGCTTATTAATAGATTTGAATAGAGTTGAAGACTGTTCATCCTGTAATATATACAAATAATGAATGTTTATTAGTATGGGGAGATTGCTATCAGCATTGAGGTGAAAAATAAAATGTTCCTTTGAATCAAACACTTCAGTCAAATGAGACAGTTTGCAATATATATTTCACCATATGAAAACAATGTAGAAATATTCATTTTTTACAACATCTACTATATAAACATCTTTGTCATTTGCTAGATTTATTACAATATTCATGAAAAATATACGCTTATTGTCAGTGCTTGCGGAGTCAGACTATCAGCAGTTTTTTCAGGCGACCTACATAATCTCACCTTTGTCTCACGACTGGGCAGTTCATTAACATGGTACTAAAATTGAGAAGTGAAATTGGCGAATGCACAAACAATTAATGCAAAGTGACGTCAGCCACGCAATGTACTTTTTCACTGAATTGAGTCATTCATTTAATGCTGTACAAGTTTCAATAAATTAAATGGCATAGTGTTGCGTAGTAGAAAATAAATATTTCTCTATTATGTCAACGTATGCTATTGTATATAGATATATATATAATTGCGTTTGTTCATGCTAACAGTTAGTACAGTAGCTTCAGTATCTGAACATCAGACGAACATTATTTAGAAACCAAATATTAATTTTGTATGTGTTGCACGTATAAGACAAACCCTGTTTTTCAATCATAATTTGCTATTTAAGTCTTTTGCTATACGCGACAATATATAGTATATATTTCAGTACAACAACCTCGTACGTATTAGACAACAGAGAGGTCAATACATTTCCAATGAGAAGACACCTGACCTCCCAGGACGCCCCCACTAAGTAGAAGCCCATTCAGAATTTCTGAAAGTTTCATGAAAATGTTCCTGGAATGTTATTTTTTAGACAGATGTAGAATCTCTGTAATTAATTGGTAACTATTAAGATATTTCATTCATGACCATACAGGGTGGACACCAAGGTTGGTGTTAATTAGTTTATTAGGTGACTGGAATGTTCAACAATCCTTTCACCCTAACAGATGGGTGTTCTACCAGCCTGGTAGCCAAATAACACATTCTTCTTTCCCCAAGTTTGTACTACCCCTCCATGGTACTACTATGTTCCTTTTCCCATCTTCTCCTAAAGCTTAACACCGGTTTACTTGCAAAATTCAGTAGTGTGGCCAACTGTATATTGAGTTAAAGCAGTTACTCCTTGATTAAAGCAATATTGGAAAAAGAGGACTAATTGCTGGTACCATACAGCATACATACAGTATTGTGTACGTTAAGTAGCATGTCAAAGTATTAATTATAGTTCCAGTGGATAGTACAGTAAGTCTATGTACTGTATTTTAAACGAAAAATACTCCTTATGGACGCAAGGATTTACTTTACAATCATATTTCTATAATTAGTAGACTAAATAAATTCATCACCCACCAAACTACCAGCAATGTACTAATTATAGCTTCAATTCATAATACAGTAACAATATGTACTATTAAAATAATTATTCTTGTTATTGACACTTTATTTTGCAATATAATCATATTTATATAATTATTAGAATAAATAAATCTATCGCCCACCAATATTATCAGCTTTAGCTAGATGGCTCATCATAGCACAACATTGTTGAAATGAATAAATTTTAGAAACAAAGCCATCGTGTATAATGCTGAATATGTGAAATTCAGTATTAAGATAGTACAGTAGTCTTCTTTTCTGTTCACAAGCTGCAATGAGTAAACAGGCCACTTTGTACTAAAAAAAAATTTAAACACTGTATATACTCGCATATACTGTAAGACAAGGCTTAAAATAGCAAATTACGATCAAAATACAGGGCTTCGTCTTATACGTGCAACATACAAATATTAGATTTTTCAAAATCCTGTTCGTCTTCTCTGTGGATCGTCAGTAACATGCAAATTTACTACTGCAATGAACCTACTAAATGTTAGTATGATTGAACATAATTTAAAATACTGGGAAATAACATTTTGATTAATATTTAAAAGCACATAAAATGGTATTATTAGCTCCATTTTTAGCCACAGATGCAGTATCAGACAAAGAATTGCAGCAAAAAGTATGAATTCCAACGGTGAAACAGGCGTCGTCTTAAGCTGGACACTCATTGCGTCATACGATCGCTGCACGATGAATCCAACTCCGCTCTCTGTGAGCACTAGACGATGCGACGCTGTCTACTGATTGTCTACGGCAGTCTGAACTGTTTATCATTAAAAACGACCCGTTGCGCACGCGTCGTCGCGTTCTTTATAGAATTGTGTTGACCAACGACCGTCGTGCGAAGTTAGTGCCCGGCTTTACACACTCGGCATCTTATACGCGGATCACCTTATATGCGAGTATATATAGTAGCTAGAAGGTTAACTTTAACATCGCTAAATATGCACTTACAGTAGAAGGCGGTTTAAGGGAGATAAGATTTTGACACAGCAATTTTCATTCAGATTTCAGATCATTATAAATACTGTAATTTATAATATATTTTTGTTCATTAATTAAATTATTTATTTTTTTGTATTTGTATATTTTTTAACAAATCCACTAAAATTTCTTGTTAGTATACTAACAGTTTATTGCTTGTTATACCTGACTACACCATACGACAACTACATTGGATAAAATAGATGGTTTCTTGCTGTAAATAATAATAATAGAGGATAATAATAATATTTCAATTTCCTCAAAAACATTTAACATGGAACTGCTAAAAAGACAAGAGATTCAAAGGTGAATTCCTTAATTGTAGTTCCATATTATAGATCATAATGCTCAACTACTGTACCTTATTGCCTATTAATATTATCAACAAGCCACACATCTAAAGACTACCCTCATAAATGAGACCCAAATGAAATATAGACTTCATATAAAAATGAGTCACAATTGGTGCTATCATCTCAACTGAGTAATTAATAACCAGTGAAGTTCGTGCAAGCAATCTGCCTTTAAGAAGGTATGAAATGTTAAGTGATGTACTTGGGTAGTGATAACTGAAGAGTTAGTGAAAGCTGGTGAAGTGATCATCTGGCAATTTACTGTATTGTAGGATCCATTGCCAAATTAGGTTTCAAACCTTAAAATTGTTTGATATTGATGTATTTTCACAATCTGAGAAAGGAATTTTTCGATTTTATTGAACTTCTTGTATATATAATACACATCTAGTAAAATGTATAAAGAAATACAAATTGTACCCATCATATTACATATTTTTGTTTAATACAAATCATCTCGGAATTTTAAATCATTGCAATTTGACTTTGAACCCTTGCTCCTCAATCAGAGAAGAAAAAAACCATTTTGTTGGAGAACACTGCTTGGGAAGAGTTACTTAAGGCCAACTCAGACAGCGTCGGCCGAAGCAGCCCGACCCGATTTATCGTCGGGGACAGTCTTAAGCCATCGTGAGAAATATTAAACATGTTTAATATTCTACGTGACTGCCCCCAAAGCACAACATCGCGTCGGCGTTTAACTCACACAGACCCAACGCGACAACAAATCGCGTCGGGCTGCGTCGTACGACGCTGTCTGAGTTGGGCTTTATATAAAAGTGAGCCAAATTCAGTTATGCCTAAGTAAACATTAGAGAAAAGAAGCTTACCGTTTCCATGGCATCAGCTGTTACCATCTCTTGGAGAGCTTTCACTGAGAGGGCCTGCTCTAAGTAAAATACACATGTTGTCAAATCGGTTGGCATATCCTAAAAGGTAAAAGAATTTCGCATTTTAGTTCATCACTAGCCTTTCAGACAACTGATGGCCGATGGCCTCCTCAAACTCCATTCTGGTCTATTCTTCGCCAAATTTGCCTACAGTAGTTTTGTTTACACCAAGCTCTTTCTGAAAAAAAATCACTCCACCTCCTTGTTTGGACTTCCTCTTTTTCTTTTGTTTCCATATGGCATACATATTGCATTATTTTATCCTGATGATGTTTAAGTAAATATAAAATATTATAATCTTTCTTTTTTTTTCATCATTGTTAAATTCTGAATATAAAAAATGGCACAATAAGAACAGTATTAAAACAATTATTTGTCTGGATTTTTTTTTTCAGTTTGAAAAGAGATTCAATATCTCATACACTTTCCTGGCACATCTGCAAATTTCAGACATTTCAGAAAGAAAATTAACTCTTTTTACAACTAAAGTATAAATAAACAATCTTTAAAATATTGATAATACAAATTAATATTTAACCACTTTGTTCATAAATTAAAGAAATAATTTTGTTTAGAGAGAGACTCTTGAGTATTTTAATAGAAAGAGACAGTATATAGGTAAGTGATAAACCATTGCTGAAAATGTGTGACCTTTATGTTTTTATGACAAAATAATGACCAAATATGGAGATAGAATTTTGCACACTATATGAAGTTAGAATGTAAACTATACACAAGTACGACAATTTACACATCTCGTTGACCAGTGTGTATACAGTAGTTTAGTCAATTGACAAACACCAACATTTCTGTGGTTAAAATTATTTTTTAAATGTTAAAAAATTCAATTATATCACAAAATTGTCTATTTGATGTATTAAATAAGAAATAAACTTCCAATGAAAAAAGTGTTCACTGAATTAAAGATGTAGGAAATGTATTATGTATCTACAAGAGTGTGTTATATTTTTTGCAATTAACATAAACTTAAATAATGAATTATATTTTCATGAATGTTTAGTAGCAACTGATATGGCCTGTACGGCAGAGTAAAAGTTGAAGTTTTCGCTCCAGTTGTTTAACAAATAAAAGAATGAGTCCTTACCCCTGCCCCACATCTCTTATCCCCACCCCCCTTCCCGATTTCCTCTTTCTTCTTTGCAATATGGTTGCCACAACACATAAGGTTTATATCTAGACCTTGGTCAGGGACTCAGATACTCCTCGTCTTCCATGTTATTTGAATACACTCCTTTTTAATTTAATAGGAAATAGTACGCCTCATAAATTTGTCTGCCATTTTGCAATATCCGACATTTCAGAAAAAAATTACTTTATTTGAAACCAAATCATAAGGGAATTTGAGGTGTGAATAAACAATTTAAAAAAAACTTGATATTAGAAATTTCTATCAACAAAAATGAGGAAACTGGAAATGGAAAATTTAATGCTTATCAAGAAAAAAAATAAAATAAGTGTCTTTCTCAGATACATACAGTAAGCACCACTATTGAAAAGCATTGTTGCCACAGGTTGCACCAAGCATAAGTTTTCACTAAGTGCCGTAGTGATGGAATATTCCATTTGTATAAATTTCCCTGCTTCTAAGCCGGAGTGCAGTTCACCTTCCATGTTGAGACCACCTCTGAGACCTAAATAATTGGGGCCTCGCTTGGGGTTCGGTCTCGAATTAGAGGGTTCGCTTAATAAAAGATTGAAAATTGTTATTTTTGTTTGTTTGAAAAATTGTTTCAAATTAGAGGAATCTCAAATTGGAGGGTGCACTGCACTTAATACAATTAATTTCCAATGTCTTATATCATCAAGAAAATATAAATAATACATTTCTCACGAAATTAATAATGCTAACAATAACATTGCAGCAAGCCAGCTAGGCCTATGCTATATAAAACACAATATAATTTTTTGAGTGTTTTAAACACCACTCCTATATTCGTGGCAACTATATTGCAAAGAAGAAAGAGGAAATCGGGAAGGGGGTGGGGATAAGAGGTGTGGGGCAGAGGTAAGGACTCCTATATTCACGCTTCACTAAAATAAGCACAGCACTAAAGCCTCCAAATTATTTTTTAATTGCTGTATTTACTAAATGATTAGTAAAGCTGTTCTGAAGAGCCTGTATTTGCACTAATGTGCAGATGAACTTACAGTATAAATTATTTCCAAATGATATTGTTTTTTATTAATACGTAACGTACCTGACCAGCCCTCTTCTCCAAGTGACATACACGATTACCGAAGACCTCGGCTGCCAGGATCATGGTGTCGGTTGACACCTTGCTCTGGGACGAGCACATCAAACATAGCTGGTCTCCCTAAAAGAAAACAACATGCATTATAAATAATAATGATATTTTTTAATGTAAGGTAATATAAGGGAATGAATGAATGAATCAATCAATAATCATTTGTCTCTCAATGGTTTTTTTTTTTTTTTTTCGCCCAAATGGATGAAATATATTATTGGTTTACAATTATGTCTCAGCTGCCATGTTCAAAATTGACTGTACTACTTTATGTCTTACTTATAATACATTATTATCACAGTAAATTTTATATGATTCTGGACAAATCTGTTTTTCTCTATGGAATGCCATTCCACAGAGTGCAATAAATGTAAATGAAAAAAAGAAAAATATGAAATAAACGGCAAGTAAAATTTGCTAATAATATAAATATCATTAATATGACACATAATGATGATATATATCTGCTACTGAGCATCATCAAAAAAAAAAAACAAATATTATTCCTTCCAAAAATGATAAATTAAATTTGTATCATCAAACATTGGGGAAAAAAAACTGCGGATGCCTCTTTCCTCATGCAAAAAAAAAAAAAAAAGAA